GACGTCGCCTCTCCCAGGGCCCCGAGCGCGCAGCTTTGAAGCGACGCGTTGCCAGGCTACACCGCCAACGACGAGCTTCGGCTGCGAGGTATATTCCTAGCGGTGCGTGCCCGATCCTCCTGATCCCATTCAGCTCTGTGGGGCCGAGTATCGATCACCTTGCCTATGGGAATCCTAACTGCTATCTTTCAGCCCTCTCCCACCTGGCCCCTGAGGCCCCTGGAGTTCTCGAAGAGGCGCGGGCCCTTGCGGCCTCGGAGAGAAGGATGGCCTGTGAGAGTGGTGCCGTGGGAAGGGGAACCTGGCTTCCCGCTCATCGCGTTCCTTGTCCTCGGAATGCCCCCCAGCAGACTCAGTTGCCTTGCGTGGACGCCTGGCAGGTCATCTGATCAGGTCTACGCATTATCAACGCGATGATGTTCCGGAGCCCCTGTCTGAGGCCCAAGAGGTTCCCGCTTACGAGGCCTCTCCTGAGGATGGGCATCTTTTTGAGCCGCTTGAGTATGATAGTCCTGCTGCTATTGACAGATGTCCGCGGCCTCTCCAACATGCAGTGCTTTTTAAACATGCTCCTTTTGTTAGGAGCTAGGCGATCAGGTGATGTTCAAGAGGAGCTGGAACGCGTTATGATGACGGGTCCTGTTACCATTATCGCTGCATCGTGTGATGTGGCTTGTGACCCCGTCAATGGTGATCTATCGCGCGCGGATATTGCTTGCAAGTGGGACCTGCTCCTGAGAACAGGCCGTGCTATGGGCCTCATCGGAGGCCCTCCATGTGAGACGTGGTCTGCTGCGACGTGGCAGGAGCTAAATTTGCTGATCGGCATCGACCACCGCCCCTCTTCGCACGCTCAAGCACAGGAGGGGTCGTCCAGATGTTAGTGCACGCCAACATCAGCAACTGTCCATGGGCTCTCAGCTCCTGTTCAGCCATCACCACTTGATGCTAACGCGCCTTGTGGTGGGCGCGCGCTCCGAAGGAACGCCCCGAGGTTGCGCGCTGGGAGGAGAGAGCACCGAGCTCGCGGCAGACGGCCACGTCTTGCGCTCCAAGTGCGGCCCCACCCTCCAGGACGGTTTCGTTTGATCAGCGTGCATTCGGTCAGAGGAGTAAGGTCCCGACTGCGCTTCTGCGCGCGAGGTTGGATTCTCTCGCTGACGAAATCCAGGGCCAGGGGGAGTTTGGACCTTGTCACCATCCCCGCAACGCGCGCGCCACCCTCCTCGGCGCTGACTCCGGGACAGGCGAGTGGCGAACGGCTCCCAAAAAAAGTACCTTCAGGACCTGCGTGCAGTCGCGGTCCGCGCAGTTGCCCGATTCGCGGATGAAGCTTTCCGATTATGCGACAAGGATGAGCTTGTTTCCAGTGACCTACCCGACGAACAGAACGCCGTTTTTGTTTTTAATTTTCCGGCTCTTGATCCCTATGTTGACAGCGCCGCGGAGGAGAAGGTCGATGTAGATTTCGATTTTGTTGGATTTAGAATTCATTGGCCCAGGGGTGCCCGATTTGACCGCCCTCGAGCCTAGTCCAGTGCCTCTTCCGCGCCTCATGTGGAGCCCCTTTCTCTCGGTCCTGGCCCGCGCCCCGAGGACCCCGGCCCCTGGTCAGGAGGGGGAGGGCCCTTGGGCCGAGGAGGGCACGTTGAGGGCGCGAGGCTGTTGGAGACCCGCGGGTTCCCGCCCCCCCCTCTTCCCCGCCCCCGCCCCCCCCCCCCCCCTCGCCCGCGTGCAGCTCGCGGGGGCGCTTCGACTGCAGATTCAGGCCAGGCGGGATCAATCCCGCTTTCGACGAGCAGTTCGTCGAGCTTCCCCTGCAGGAGGCATTTTCTCTTCGCCCGCTGCTGCCCCCCCCCCCTCCTGAGCTTTCGAGGCAGGCCGTGCAGATGCATGCGATGAGGTGCTGCGCGGCAGCGCGCGGCCCAGGCGCGACGGGGCGATGGGGCCCCTCGTCTCGCTTTCCTCGTTGTTGCTTCTTTCGTGCCTCGTTATGTTGCTCTGTGCCCTATGGCTGTCTGCGAGCCATCCTTGGTCATGGGGTCACAAGGTCCTGCTGCTCCTCCTCCTCCTTGTCCTCCTCCTCCTCCGCTTCGCTCAATCGTCTTTGTTTCACCGTTTTCGCCGGCGCACCTATGGCGCGCGCGGCTTCTGTCTGTCTGCCGCGGAGAAGAAGTTCGAGAAGGGGCAGCAAATCCAGATGGACGACGAGATACTGATATCTCTAGCACGTCGCGCGGCGCGGAGCTGGTGGGCAATCGAGGTGCCCTGCGAGATTACCTACCCATGCGCCGCCGCCAAGAACGAGGGGTCGGAGTTGATGGCGAACTCGACGGGCGACGCCGTGGCCGGGTGCAATTCGAAGGACAATGTCTGCACAATTACGTTCGCGATGGAAGAAGCGGTGAGATCAGCGCGCGCCACGCGCCCATTTCCAACGCAGTTTTGTTTCGTGCTCCGTCCGAACACCTACGTATTCTCGGCGAGTCACACGCCGCGAAGCAGTGGATAGAAACCGCGCCATTATTGCGAGCATGACTCGCAACACGTAGGTTTTAGTACTCTCGATGTGCATTCTATGGGGTGCAGCCAATCATTTGCTCAACTTGAAACTGTCCTCTCCACCGCTCGTGCAAACACCCCGCCCTTCCACCCGCAATGTGGTTGCAAGACTTCTTAAGCCAGTGACGGTGGGTACCGCGTGGCACTTGGCAACGACACCGGCGAGGGCAGCGACAACGACGACGACGACGCCGCCGACAACGACTACGACGACACCGACGGCGTCTCCAACGCCTTCGACGACGACGACGACGACGACGACGACGACGACGACGGCATCGACGCCGACGACGACGACGACGATGACAATGCCGACGACGCCGACGACGACGACGACGCCGACGACGACGACGACGCCGACGGTGACGACGACGACGACGTCGCCAACGAAGACGACGACGACGACGAGGGAAGGAGAGAGGACGACGACGGCGACAACGACGACAACGACGAGGGAGGAGGGAGGACGGCGACGACGCGAACCACGAAGAAGGAAGGAGGACGGTGACGCCGACGACGACAACGACGAGTGAGGAGGGAAGACGACGACGACGGCGACGAAATAGGAGTGACGACGAGACGCCGACGACGGACGACGACGACAACGAGGGAGGAGGAAGGACGACCACGGGGACAACGACGACGGAAACGACGACGACGACGACGAGGAAAGACAGAGGGCGACGACGACGAGGACGACGACGACGAGGGAAGAGGGACGGCGACGACGACGACGACGCACGAGCGCGTGCGCACGTTTTTGTTGAAAATACGCGTTGCGAAACCCTGCGTGGCTGTATGTTTTTTTTTGTTTTGGGGAAACTCGATTTTGAGATCTTTCCGAAACCAAGAGTTTTTGAAGGATTTCGGCATGCGCTTGCGACGTCGCGCGCGCGTGCACTTCGTCAAATGTTTTGCAGGAGATCTCGCGACGGCACGCGCGCAAGGGCGTTCGAACGATTTTAACATGCGCGCGAAGCCATTTTTGTGTGTATATACATATACAAATATATATATATATATATATATATATATATATATATATATATATGTCCAGTTTTGAAACGTGAAGCGGAGCCTGGTGGAGAGAGAGCGCCGCATTCGTCTGTGCCTGCCCCGCTGGCATTGGGCTCAAAGTGCATGCCGACGGCACTTCGATGGCCTTCGCCGCATGGCTGGCGGGCGAGGCGGTGCAAGGCGCGGGGCAGGCCGCGCTGCTGTGGGCAGCCCGCGGTGAGTGCCCAGCCTGCGCGTGCGCGCCGGCCCCCACGTGCGCCCCGGGCCAGGAGGCGGCGCGCCTGGACTGCCCGGGCGGACCCCCAGGGTGGGCGCTGTCAGCGGTGGCCCTCGCTGGCGTGAGTGGCTTCGCGGGGGGGCTCCTGGCCGCGCGGTGGCTGGGCTCCTGGCAGCCGATCGCTGGCCTCCCGCCTCAGCCCTCCTTGGAGGAGGAGGCTAGAGCGCAGGCGGCTGTAGTCAGAGCGCGGGCCTGCGCCTCGTGATGGCCAGCTCTGCAGCCGCCGCTGCGGCCAGTGGGCACCCTTTGGCTCTGGACGGGCTCGACGAGGGCGATTTCATCCAGGTGCTGTATCGCGTGGGAGGCGCCCGGATCTGGCACGAGCGCCTGATCCTGGCGTTTCAGACGGTGCCGCCCTTCGGGACAGGGGTCTTGACACCAGATGGGCACGCCTACGTGGAGGCCATCATGCAGAACGGGGCGGACATCAGGGAGTACGCGATTCCCGCTGGCGCTTCCGCTGGCGCCGTGGCCGTTGCCACAGCTGGGGATCAGGTCTACCGATTCCGTGGGCTTCCTCTTCCTGGGGAGGTCGCGACGGGTGCCGCCTCTGTTCGAGGCACTCTTGGGCTGGGCGCAGGGCCGCCGATCGCGCTGAACACGGCAGGGCGTGGCATCGCGGCCGTGGTAGGCGCTCCGGCTGGCGCTGGGCCTGCGGGGGCCCCCGCTGCTTGCGGGGCCGGCGGTGCTCCTGGGGCTCTGGGCGGTCTGGCAGGGCTTGCGGCAGCCCTCGGAGGCGGCCCAGCGGCCGCGCCAGCTGGCGCAGCCGCGCTTGTACCAGTGGCGGCCGCACCTGCACCTGCGGCTGGCGGAGCTCCAGCTGTCGTGCCTCTTGGCGGAGGAGGGGCGCCCCCAGCTGCTCCTGGCGCCCTCGGAGGCGCCGCCGTGGCCGTGCCGGCCCCTGGGCCTGCCGCCGCCCCTGCGCCCGCCGCAGGTGGTGGCCCTGGTCCTGGCGGAGTGGCCGCAGCTCTGGCCGCTATCGCTGGCGCTCCTGGAGGCGATGCTCGAATTCAGTCGGTTGCCTTCGACGCGCAAGGAGTGAGGTATGTGGGCTTCGAGCTGCAGTGGTTCGCCTTCGCGAGCTGCCATGGGGCGATTGGCCTCTCAAGGGACCCCGCGCGCTGCTATGGGTGCTTAGTTTCACATGCCGCAATGGGAGTACGCCCCTTGGCAGGCACGCGAAGTGGGTTTCGGAGGGTACCTTGAGGCGGACGATCCTGGAGTCGACACCCACTTGCTGTGCTGCCGCCTCCTCGAGCTGGGCGTGGTCTACGATCAACTCCACGTGACCAACATCGCTGCCATGGAGCTGGTCGGGCGGACCCTCCAGACGCAGGAGGAACTGTATCGAGACAGGTTCGCGGCGGCTTCGGAGTTCGGCTCAGACGCTGCTCTGATGTCGGGTGCTCTGGACGCAGGCGGGAACGCGCGCGTGGCCCCTGCTCTGAGGGACTGGCTGGCCGCCGAGAAGGCACGCGAGGCCAACGTAGCCAAGGAACGGCGCAAGGCGCGCGAGGAGCGGCTCCTCGCAGCTGGCGGCAGCTCTGGCGAAGGGCGCGGCAGCGATGGCCGAGGCCGAGGCCGCGGCCGCGGCCGCGGACGAGGTAGAGACGGCGGGAGGGGGCGGCCGCACAGCCCCAGACGGCCATGGCTGAGAAGCACCAGGGGGGGGGCATTTGGGCCAGCCTCTCCCTGGGACAAGAGTGCGGCGTCGGCCGCAGGCCCTGGCACGCGTGGAAGTCTCCGACGCCGCGACGTCTTCCCGCTGCCGTCCCCGGCTGCTGCTGCTGGCCCACCCTCAGCGCCAGGCAGTCGCCGCTCGGCTAGGCGCGCTGGGTATCGCCTTCATCGTGAGGATAGGGTTCGCTCGGCCGTCAACGCACTTAATTCGCTCTATGGTTCTCGGTCCTCGCCTCCAGCTGCGGCTCACGAGGGGCAGCGCCAGGCCATCATGCACATCACGGACAGCATCAACGAGCTTGGGCGCCCGCCGTCTGAGTTCTTGTCTGGTAACGCTGCGTAACGCTGCCGAAGACGGAGCCCTCAGGGAGCTCCTCTCTTGCGCCAACCTGTACGGTACTGGCGCCGCGACGTCGACCCCCTACGTCAGCGACAGAGTCGCATGGCCCGCCGCGGGTGGGGCCCCAGTGGACATCGTCGAGCTGGTGCCGCCCGTGGATAAGGTCTGGCTGGAGGGTTGGCGGAGTCATATGCTTCGAGATCCGCGTGCTGCTGCTGCTCTGGCCAGGGAGGCATGCCCGAAGGGGCCTTTTTGCGATCCCGCCTTGACGCGCGACGTGAGCACGTACGGTCGTTTTTTGATTCAGATGTACGAGAGGCAGATGGTCAACTTCGCGGCTGACACCGGTCAGCCGCACACCGTCGGCCTCTTCTTCGTTCCCAAGAAGACGGGGGCCCTCCGCATCATTTTCGACACGAGGGCCGCCAACTGCAAGTTTCTAGACGCGCTCAGCACTCGGCTACCTTCGGCCTCAGCCTTCAGTTCGATCGAGGCGCCGATCGATGGCATGTACATGTCCACCTGCGACCTTGAGTGCGCCTTCTACCACATGAGGCTCCCAGAGGGCATGGAGGTTATGTTCACCTTGCCGCCGATCAAGGCGGGGGTGCTTCAGGAGCTCGGCCTCGTGGACCTCGACTTCGACCCGTTGGTGTCTCTCTCGCCCCAGGTTATTGTGCTTCCTATGGGTTTTTCGTGGGCACTGCATCTTTGTCAGGCTGCTGCTCGCACTGTGCTGTCGGACGACGGCCACTCTCTGGATCAGACCGCTCAGGATGGTCATCCTGGGGTTAACGTTGTTGAGAAGAATGCCGTGGGGGTTGCCGCCTACGTCGATGACATCCTCGTCTTCGGCGGCAGCAAGTCTTTGGTGGATGAGACTATGACTAGGCTGGTGGGCACCTTCAGGAGTCGCGGACTTCCAGTGCACGAGATCGAGCCCGCTGCTCTGGATGCCGACTTCCTTGGCCTCAGCCTCCGCGGTGGAAGATATCTTCGCATCAAGCCTCGGAACATTTGGAGACTCCATTTCGCGATATCCAGTTTGTTGAGGCGTGGATGGTGCTCCGGCCACATGCTTCGGGCGGTGCTTGGTCACATCACGTGGACGTCGATGATCCGCAGAGAGGTGCTCACCGTGCTTCACAGCTCCTATGGCTACGTCGGCGCCTTCGGCCCGAGGCACGGCAAGCTCTGGCCGTCAGTGATCAAGGAGCTCATTCTCATTAGGGACCTGCTCCCGATTCTGACTTGCGACCTGACTGCAGAGTGGCACACCGTGATGACGGCCAGCGACGCCTCTCCCTTTGGCCTCGGCGTCATGCGACGGCGGGCACCTGCTGCTACTTGTGCTGCAGTGGGGCGGTGCTTCGAACGGTGGCGCTACAAGGTCGAGGGCGGGCACCAGGCTCGCGCGCGGTCGCTCAAGGCAGGAGAACTGGTGGCCGATGAGGGGCCAGGCGAAAACAGACAAAATCCGCCCTCTCTCTCTCCACCTCTCATGCCAAGATCCAGCGGTAACTGGGAACTCTCTGAGGAGCACCTGGGCAGCTTGGGGAGTCACGCGTTGAAGAATCCAGAGGACATCCAGGAGGCCGGCACCTTGGGCGTCCACGGTGAGGACTTGGGCATCCCTGTGGAGCTCAACATGACCGAGGCCCTGAGGTTCAGCACGGACCCTTGGGAGCTCGACGAGGTACCTGGGCACATCACACGCAAAGAAGCTTGGAAGAGCGTCAGTGCACAGTCGGTGTCTCTGGGGGCCAATATTCTTTACCTTGAGGGCGAGGCCTTAGTCACGTCTTATCGGCACCTTCTTCGTAACTTGGGCAGTCACGGCAAGCGCATGGTAGCCTTAGTCGACAACTTGCCCTTGGCTCTTTCTTGTACGAAGGGGAGAGCCCGCTCGAGTTTCCTGAGGTCATGTCTCAACCAGTTGTGCTGTCTGTCGTTAGCCACAGGCTCGAGGCTTTGTGTGCGCTGGATCGCTTCAGAAAGGAACCCATCAGACTCGCTCAGCCGTGGGAAGCTGGGTTGGTTCAGCGGCCACCGTCATCTTAGTGGTGCTCGGACGGCTGGCCGGCGGCTGCGTCGCCCTCTTCGTCCTGCTCTTGCTGATCACGAGGGCGGAGGCGATGCCGCGACGGGGATCACGCACCCCTTCGGCCTTGACGAGACACCGCGCGAGTCTGGCTGCCAAAGCCGCGGGCGGGCGCACCAGTACTTTGGCCATGAGCCTGCTGGAGCAGCTGGCGGTGAGACTGAACACAGAAGCCTTCTACCTGCAGCTGCTACACAGGTTCGTGAGCTACTGTGCGGACCGCCACCTGGACTGGAGAACGTTGGGCCATTTGGGCTCGATCCTGGCGGAGTACCTCACCACGCGCTACCTGGCGCAGAGGCTGACGACCGACAGCACCGTGCAGCCGTCGATCGGCGCGGGCGCCGCGCACCAGTTCTGGGGCCTCCTGCTGCACCCCGCAGACAGCGGCCAGGGCGGGAAGACGGGGGCGTTCGACGAGTCAATCCTTTACGATCTCGACTTGTACCTCGTGCCGGCCCTCATGGCGCTCCGCCTGAAGGGGCCTGTCGCGACGCCTCTGTGGGGTTTCAGTCTCGGCCAGCTGAACCTGATGTTCCCTCTTGCGGCAACGACCCTGGGCATCAACCACCTGCGCCCCCACTTGTACGGGATGGGGCATGGCGGAGTGAGCGACGACCTCTTGACGCAGAGGCGATCGATGGAGCGGGTGTTCCGCAGGGGCCGCTGGGCCGTCATGTCGTCGATGCGGCGCTGCGCGAAGGAGGCGGCTCTCCTGCGCGAGCTTCAGGGCGGGGCGGAGGACGTGTACGCGGTCGGCCACCTCGTGAAGGGCAAATCTGCGAGCTGCTGGAGATGGGCTTCATCAGATGCGGGCGCCTCGCCCAGGCGCCTTCCCGGCTGGTGGAGGCGATGCAGCTCGGCGCCCCGGCGCGCGGCAGGCGGGCTCGGAGGAGGCCCGCAGCTGCGGCGCAGTGAGTGCTGCGGGCGACGCCGTCCGCCAGCACCTGAGGCGGCGTTTCAAGGAGGCTGTGCAGCGGGGCTCGCTCTGTCGCAGGCGCGTTGTGGTAGAGCTTTTCAGCGGTTCAGGCCACTTCACCGCCGCGGTGCGACGACTCGGCTTCTCGGGGCTGGGACTCGACATCAGGCATCGCCCTCTCGAGGACCACCTCGACGCCACTTTTGAGGAGGTCATCGCCGGATGGCTTTGTAGCCACGCAGTCGCCGCTGTTTTCCTAGGGACGCCCTGCACCACCTGGTCGCGGGCTCTCAGAGGCCCCTGAGATCTCGCGACCACCCAATGGGCCTCCATCAGTTGAGCACATCCGAGAGAGCCCGCCTACAGCTGGGCAGCGCTTCTTTTGCTTTCACGTGCCGCATCATCAGACTGTGCAGTCGTCTAGGGACTCCTGTGATGCTGGAGAATCCAGCAAGCTCTTTGATGTGGTATGCCCGCTCGCTGTCTCGGCTCGTTCACTTACCTTCTGCACGCAGTTGTGATCTAGACCAGTGCCAGTATGGTGCTCTTTGGCGGAAGCGCACGAGAATCGTTTCGTGGAATGCTGGCCCCGTTGAATCTTCGCGCCACGTGTGCCAGGGGAGACGCGGGCTGTGCTCACGCACTGCCAACAAGCATGTAATTCTGTCTGGCCAAAGCCCTGCAGGATGTAAGTACACTGCGCTCGCAGCTGCTTATCCAGCTGCCCTTGCCAATGCTCTCGCAAATGTAATCGAGCGCGCGGTGCTCAAGGCGCCGCAGCAAGCGATGGCTAGCCTAATCAGCAAGTAGCTTGTCTCCGTGCTTTCTCGCTTCAGCATCGAAGTGCCTTTTTACTTTTCGGCCGCCTTTGCCACTCTGTCAGTGGCGGCCAGAGCTTCCATAGGGGTTCGGGAATTCTCTTTCTGGTCGGACCTCTGTGCAGTCTGCTCCGTCGCCCAGCTGCTCGCCGGGAAATCATCTCGTGGCAGTGTCTACTGCCCTAGCCTGGCTCGCGCTCGACACATACAGTAAAA